AGGACTCTGCGTGGCCTTGGGGAAAAACTTGACAACGTGGAGAGATGCATAGCTGAGATGAATAGCTCTGTCGACGCTGTGCAGAAGAGTTTTGCGGGCCTTCAACAGGAAATCGTTGCTAATGATAACCGGCTCACGAAGGCCAAAGGACACATCGGAGACGGGGAAGATAGCCTGCAGAGTGTGCATACACAGCTGACTGACGCCGCTAAACGCATCACTTTTTTGGAGTCTAAGACAGGAGACCTGGAAAATCGTGCCCGGAGAAAGAAACTAAGACTGGTAGGGCTCCCTGAAAACGCTGAAAAAACCCAGCCTATGACTGACTACGTCCAGCGTATGTTGCCGGTTTGGCTGGGGGTTGATGCCGCCAAGTCGTTTACCTGGGAAAGAGCACATCGCACTTTGGCAAGACCAAGACCGGATCAGAATAGATCATCCGCTTCCTACAATTTCAAGACTGTGAGTTTGTCTTCAAAGCATCCAATCAACGCTCACTCACTCATGATGGCCACGAAATCTTCATTGCTCAAGATTTATCGGTGGAAAGCATGGAGCCCGTACAATGCAGTGAGGAAAAAATTAATTGAAACTGGAACTTTCCGGGGATTCGCCCTAGGTCCTTGCAAGATGAGGGCCTTGCACAAAGGGAAGATGGTTCTCTTCTCCACACCAGAATAAGCTGAGGACTTCATCCTAAACTCCTGAATGTCTGAGTGCCGGGGGAGTAAAGGTCCCCATAGAAAGAATCATATGGACAACATAGGTGCGCAGTAGTTTGATATAGGTTCTGCAAAGTTGGACTGTATATTTTATACTTTATAATTTAGTAGAGACATGCGCAGAGCTGCTACTACTGTTTGTGGTGGCCACTTTATGTTTTGTACATTTTATCGACCGATACATTTGTTAATTTAACACAGGTCTCTGCAACAGTTATATACAGAGGTGTTAATAATGTTATGCTTATTTCTAGGACATGAATGTCTAAATATTCAAACCGGGGTGCAGGGTTGTAGGGGGGCCTAATGGGCTGTCTGACAGAAGTGCCTACAGTTAACCACTCCTCATTAGTGTAGACTGGTAGTTTAAGTAATGGAAGGGGGGGTGGATTTCAAAGGTTACGTTTTATTTGTGTGTGTTGGTATGGTTTATGTTTTCTTTATTTTTTTCGCACTCAATATGGTCTTACTGTACATCACATGTGTCAAACTCAAGGCCCGCGGGCCAGATGTGGCCCGCCATGTCAT